TCTTTGTGATATGAACACATGTGAAACAAATGATCATTTAGCCATTTATTTTTAGCTCAAAATGACAACATTAACACAATAAAACAGGTCTCTTTCTTAAACAGAAGCCTGTCATGCTTAACTTTTGAGAATATAAGTAAATCTTTCTTTAAAAGCACTCTGTCCTGCTTAACTTAAAATAATAGAAAACAATAGAAAGAAAAATATTCTTGTAACTGTGCACATTTAGTGCATTTAGTACAATTGGCTTCAGTTGAGGTATTATTTCAGCTTTTCTAATCAGCTGCTCCTGTTTGTAAACCCGCTTGTTCCCATGATTACGCATCTTAACTCATCATCATTATTCATCTATGTATTACTTTTACGTATTAGTCATCTATTTGTTGTAATCATCTATCCTTGCAGTTGTTTATTACACAAAATAAATTATATTATCACACTTCTGGCCACATAGCGCTGATATTCACTGCACATGCCCATATTAACTTTTTCCAGCCAGGTGTTTTCCTTTTCCCATTCTTCCCTTTCTCTGAGGGGAACAAACATTGCTGCTCTAACGCTGGGCTCACACTGTGCGGTTTTTGGCCCATTTTGAGCCGATTTTTGAGTGATCGGACCGATTTTGGCCTTCATCGTGCGTCGTGTAGTATACGTGGGGTAACGAGAAGTGATTAACACCTCACGACCAGCTCCCGATCATCAATCGCTCGTGAGGGTGTCACCACAGGCGCTCACACTGCTCACGCGCAAACACGTAAATGTTGGTGAAAAAGACGGCGCAGCACGGCAGTGCAGCATGTGATCTGGACACAAGCGATGGAGGCACAACTTGTAGAACTTTGGAGCCTTTTCGATGTGGCATCACAAAATTATCACGACCACAACAACCGTGAAAATAGTTGGATCTACACTGCTGCTCAATCACAGCTGCCTGATCAATGTTTTTCATTAGCAATTTAGCAAAGTTGATGGTAGTGGTGTGTCTGTGTGAGTGAAAGACAGAGAGAGCGAGCGACAGATTTTCTGTTATAACCTTCATGTTATGGAGGCACAGTGTGAGCACTCAGGTCGCATCAGAGCATCGGGCCGTATAGTGTGAGAGTACATCGTGACCTACCAACTTCTAACCCCTGCGAGTCAATCGTGCAGTTTGAGCAGGAGCTGAATAACGTGACTGAAAAAAATCGCACAGTGTTTGCCCAGCTTTAGGTGTACTGTCGTCCGAGACTTGCACCGCAGTGACGGCGTTTGTTCCCCTGTTGGCCATGCTTCTTGTTGTGGTCATCTGTTGTCTTCCGGTATCTCCGCAAGCGACCTTTCCTCGACCAATGAGATGAGCGGTAATCTGAATTGTCATACTCGAATTGTCATAAGTGTGCTGTCAGCTCATTGGTCACAAAGCAGGAGAGGGGCTGGGAATTATGTTTTCAAACAAAGTGTTAATTCCATTAACATTTATAGACTACTTTTGATTCTCACTGTATTACGGGACAAAGTGCGTCCCTTATTAGCTCAATACGGGACGTGTACTTTTGTTTCGAAATACGGGACGATTCCGTATTTTAAGGGACGGTTGGCAACCCTAGCCACCGGGGCCTCTGATCACCACCAGTAGGCAACAGGTGAAGTGTCTTGCCCAAGGACACAACACTGGAATTACTCCTTGGAAAGCTCTTCTTTACTGCTGTGCTGTGAACATGAACCTTCTTTATACCAAAAACTTTGTGGTTGAAAATAAACCTGTTGCTGAAGTGCACTTCCTCCCATGTCCACTTGAGGCTCTCTTCAAAACTGAGTTAATTCCCACAGACTACCATGTGGGCAGCTGTGGCTACAACTGTAGCTTGCCTCCACCAGTGTGTGAATGTGTGTGTGAATGGGTGGATGACTGGGTGTGTAAAGCGCTATGGGGTCCCTAGGGGGGACTAGTAAAAAGCACTATACATATACAGGCCATTTACCATTTAAAATTACTTTACAGCAGAAATAAACATCATTACAGACTTTTACCCAAACAGTTTTGATCTTGGGTTGCTGCACACTATTTAATAGGCTAATTCAGGTCACTAGCTTGACACTTCCACTGGTATTTGAAGCCTTTTTAATTATTTATCTGACACACTGTTTATAAGGTTGGGGAAACCTGCAGTCAGCTGAGACTGAAGAAGTCACTTGGATGAGTGACGAAACGTTTCTCCCACAGAAAACGCTACGTCCAGATCAACAGAATCAACCTTTTGGGATTTACTTACCTGGATGATTGAGTACGCATCAAGACATATTTATCTGACAGATAATACAGGTTAGGATCATCCAAGAAGTTTGGATTCCATTGTTTTGGTGAGTGAAATTCAAGTTAGTTGTAGGTAATGCAGCCATATGGGTTCAACTTGCTTACCAACTTAGCTATAACTAGACCATATCTTAGAGCTCTGAAACACAAAAATGATAAACAGTCAACTGAAAAAGAGTTTTCACCGGACTCTCTGCAGTCCTGTGAAGAACTAAGTCCAGCCTTACCGCTTCCATAGGAATTAAGAAGGTAAATAGCAGCCAGGTTCTGATAATCAAATGAACCTGATTAAGTGATCATCCGGAACCTGACAAAACTTCTTTAAAAGCAGGAGTTTTGGGGTGTTGTGGGGATGTGGTAACACAATGCATATATGGTTTTTCCAAATTCACCCAGCAATGTTCAGAGAAACTTCAGAAAACCTAAGCGGTGTTTCTACAAGCTCTTGAGTCATGGGCTGTACTTACTTAGAGTCAAACTTTCTCTTTTACATGACTGTAGTAGCCCACAAAACAATAGAAGATCTAATGGTACTGACATCAATCTTTTCTATAGTCTGTGGTTTATACTTACTGTTTGTAAGAACATACTGTGGAGCACCCAGGTGTCAGGTTCAGTGCAGAGCAGCATTTTCTTTCATGCTGGAAGATACTGATGACAGGAGCTCTATAAGTGAAGATGTTCCCAAAGCTAGCGATGAGGATGAAATGGTTTATTTGCCATTTCTCAGAAAACTGATGAACGCCCACCTACCCAGCATCAAATGACAGAGACAGATACCAGCTAACATCTGAACATGCAACAGGCACTCTTGGAGAACACTGCACATAAAAGACTCAGTGGATAAAAACATATTGAAAACATCTTTCTCTGAGGCAGCTGTGTGAACCACTTAACCACTCAGCTGCGGAGTCCCACTCAGAAAAACATTTGATTTGATTTACTGTATAAGGCATTTGATGTGATAATTTGATGTGATATCTACCCTATGCCCTTTCACTTTCACATCATTTCAAGCTGCTCTCACCCCAAAGCTTGCCTCCTGGTAAAATAAGAAAAGAGTGGGGGTGGTGGGTATCTCATCATGTGGAGGGAAAAAAAGTATTTTCTTCTCATTCATTTAACTGTTGCTTTTATTGAAGCAATTTCACATTGTGCTCTGAGTAGTTTTTAAAAACTGAGCTAAACTTTGAAGGAGGCGAGATGGAGTTCAGCCGGCCTTTTTCAGCTGGAATAAATCAAGCTGTTAGTGAACAGAAGCCACAGTGTGAAGAGCGACTGTTTAGTGTCTTAGTGCAGTTTACAATCCTCTTGCTGAGCCCAGTGGCACTCAGACGAGCTTCCTCGGTGGTACTGTTGTTATAAGGAGGATTAGTTCAACCACCAGGCTGAGCTCTATCTGCGTCTGCCTCGGTGCGGAAAGAAAATCTCACCTGATGACATTTATGTAGCCTAAACACCCCGAAACACACAATTTACTTTAATTAGTTAATATAATCTCGTCTCTCATGAGCACAGTGTTGCAATCTTCCTTAAAAAAAAACTGACCCTCCGTGGATCCTCGTGATCTGTGGAGCTTTTCCTGTGACCACCACTACGTGGCGCACTGAGTCATAAACTCAAACCAGCACACATGGCAGGGTGCACATGCACAGCACTGGAAGCTATGAAACAAAGGTCTTATAATGCCTGTGTGTGGCCATGGAAAAAAAAAAAAGAGAATAAAAAATAAACCCGGTTTCCATTTGTTCAGACAATAAAATATTTGGCTATTTAGAGAAAATGTTGTTTTTTCGCTCCAAGAAAACAAGAGAAAACTCTGCCAGCAGAGCGCTTGAGATCGTTTTACAGGTTTGAGAATGGCAGCTTCCCAAGTGAAAACAGTGCTTTCGGGGGAAAAAAACAGAAAATGAAATTAAAAAGCTTGTTTTCAGGCCACCAGAAGAGCTCTTTATTGACATAATTATGTCAGTAAATCCATTAAACGACTGTTTGAAACGCAATCTGCACGCTGGTGTCACATTTGAATAAAACTTTTCAAGTAGAAAATGAAACTTGGACACTAGGAGAATGGCTGCTTAGTGAAAATGAAGCTGAACCAGTGAAAGTGGCTGGTTGCGCAGCGATCTGAGGTCTGTCTGCGGGCCCGTGGGAAGCCCGCACACACCAGCCACCCTCCCTCAAACCCTCTCACCCCCTCGAGTAGGAGAAGATGTGTTGTTTTTGAAAGCGAAACGCACGTCGTTCAAAAATCCAAAGCCGATGGGAGAGCGCGCACCCGTGAAACTGTACACTGCAAGAAATATCTGCAACAACAAACACCGCTGCAGCGGATCGGCTCCAAAACCCCACCGTGAAGAACTTGATTATGACCCCCACCTCCCCCGTGCACGAGCACGACAAATAATATGGTGAATTTGTGAGGTTGGATCATTTTTTCATTCAAAAAAACGATCTCCTCGGGGGGAAATGGTTTATTTAAAAGTGGGAAAAAGCAAAAATAGCCGATGAATCCAGGTTTTATTTGACTTATTTTCCTGGGAAAAGAGAATCAAGAAGACTGAACAGTCCGAGCTCTAGCCTCTCAACTGTCAAGATTTTTTTCCAGTGTTCCCCGGCTGGCCCGGTAGAAGAGAGAGAGGGAGGGAGGGAGAGGGGGGGGGGGGGGGGGGGGGGGGGGGGGTAGAGGAGGAGAAGGGGGGGTTGGTCCGGGAGAGCTTGGCAGCGGGAGCCACACGGCGCTGCTTTTACTTGCTTCGCACCGCTTCTGGCGCGCTTTCGGTTACGTGGCAGAGCGGCTCGTCGGGGGACATTTAACCTGAAGACCGCGCGCGTTTACACGAGAGCTTTGTTATCTCGTGCGCTTGGATAGGAGAGATCGGACAGCTGCGGATTCAGCCGGAGCTCAAGCTGCTGCTTTGAGTGGTTGTCGCTGGATCCACGGGGAGCCAGAGGAGAGGTCCCGAGCTGGCGAGAGCGGCGACACGGGGACTGGGTGTCTGCGCTTTTTCTTTTTAAAACCTCTGCGCTACCAGGAACACTTTCCTGCTGCTTCTTTTATTCTAAAAGACACGCACACACACATATATATAATTCTTCTGTACTGCGTAGATTGCGCAGGGCTGCCTCCTGTTTTGAACTGTTTCACTGCGAGTTGGAGAAACTGTTCGCTGCGCGGTGCGGAGTTGAGCCGTGGATGAAACGGTGATTTTGTGGTGTCTCTTGATTTAAAGTAGATCCGATCGAGGAAATGATCTGACTGCTAAAACCCCAAGTTGCTGCTTTAAATGAAGAAGACGGCGTTTAAGCTCCAGATACAGAAGAATAGAGCTCCATCTTTAAGGAAATAAAAGTGGACTGTCATTCACACAGGCACAACCAGCACACATCAGAGCTTTTAAACCTGATTCAAGAAGGACTTTCGGCCAATTTTCAGTTCATCGGAGTTCCACAGCAATTATGCCGCAGGTGGACATGATCCTCTTCCTCATCCTCATCATTGGGATGTGCGTGTACGGCCAGGACCCTGCTTCCAAGGTGGTGTCCGACCGCTATGCCGTCTTCTGGAACAGAACCAACCCCAAGTAAGTAATCCCGCTATCCCACAGGGACGCAGCGACACGGAGCGGGGAGAGGGGGCTCTTTGTGCCCCGCCGGAGCGCCCTGTGCGCTGCCCCGTGTGCTGCCCCGTGTGCAGCAGTGCAAAAGGCTGATTGATTGGTTGAGGTGGTTACACTCTCAGCTCCATTTGTGGCATTACAGGTGCGCGCAACTGAAGGTAATGCACTTTAGGAAGCAAAGCAAAAAACCCAACGTTAAATACTGATAATTTAATGGCTCAGCTGTTATCACACCTGTTTGTGTCCATGATGTAACGTTTGCCTTTTAAGTGCCACCATTTTTAAATCTTCAAACGCAAACCTGGCAGATTGCTCGCTGCCTCACTCACCTTAATAATTGTTGTCCTTGTTGATGGATTGTTGCATTGATTGAAGATTAATTGCCCCTCATGTCTGAGTCTTCTTTGTAATGAACCGTGCACATTTAGCAGCATAAATCTCCCCGTGACAGCTCCTCAACAACAAGGTGTTTTTACACAGGCTGTCATTTACGTGCTGTTATCCATTAATGCTCACTGTTTGCTCCACATTATCAGGCTGGAAATTTGAATGCAGAAGTGTTACAAGTGCTGCTGGGAATGCATTACTGTGCTGCTTTAAAAATAATGCTGAGCCGCTTGCAGTCTGCTGTCATCGATTAGAAATGACAGGATCGTTTTGGTGCCAAATGGAGACTCATCCTGTGAGGGATTGCTGATATTCCCTGTCAGCTTAGGGTTAATGTTATTGATCTATCGCACTATCGCTGATAAATTGTAATCTGATGTGTTTCTTGCTTCCTGTTTGAGAGGTTTCTCCCAGAAACTTTTGCTTGGATCCTGAGGTGACATTTCTCCTCCGAAACTTCCTCTTGCTTGTGCCTGGGCGCCTCCCTCCCTCAGTGACTCAGTGCTTCACTTTTCCACCTTCAGCACCGGAGCACATAGTGATATGATGAGTGTTTGTCACTTTGTTTCAGCTTGAATACTTTCTTTATTAGCAGGCTGCAGTTTCAGAATGAGTCAATAAATAAATATTATATCAACATTTGCTCAGAGGCCAGGAACTGGTTTCTGGGCTTCAACAGTCAAAACACACATCAAGAGCCTTTGTATGTCTTTGTAATGGTCACCCTGAGGGCAAGTGTGTGTTACGGAGGAGTTAAACTGACAGGATGTTAATGATAGAAATGCAAATGCTGCAGCGGTGACATCAAAGGAGGTGATGCAGTTCTTGCTCTGCTGCTAACAGAAAGATATCTGAGTCTGATAACAGCCTTCTGTCACACTTGCTGGCTGCAGGTCCTCTCCTCCCTCCATTTTTGGCATTGAAGCAGTTCCCAGTTCCCAAGTCTAGTTTCTTGGTTGCCATGCTTCCCCCCCCCACCCCCTTATCCAAGTGTCCCCTCCGCCTTGTCCGCCCTCCTCCTGGCCCATGCTGGGGCAGACAATAAGCGGGTACACAGGGGTATTTCAGCAGCGGCCAAGGCACAGCGTGGCGCTCAGTCTTGTGAGAGATCCACACATGCTGAGGTCACACACTTGGTAGTAACCAGGCAAGTTGCGGGTTAAGCAGCACAGAGGGGACCGTTGTCAGGGTCAAAACCAGGGCAGTACCGCTGGCCATGGGGCCCGATGACGGGCCCAGCACGGCACCCTGCCTGGACTTTGTCTCGACAGAATAGGGACTAAATAAATGAGTAACTCTAAATGACTGTCTCCTTTTCTCATTCATGACTTTAATCTAAACCTGACCCTTGCTGTATAATGTAAAAGAGGGCCATGCTAAAAAGCCCAGGGGCCCCTGATCCGCAGCAGAACTTAAGAGTATTCCATACAAGCTGGCGGGTGCTGAATCCCCGCTGTTTAATGTAACCATACTCAGTGTTGGAGTCCTGGGAACCTGCTGCGGTACAGTCCCAACTTCCAGATGAGCTTTCTTACCCCCCTCTTCTCCTGTTTCTGCTGCATATTTGACCAAAGTGAGGAAAAATGGCATCCGGAGCAGCAGTCCATACTCAGCCATTCATGAAATGCCCTACAGGAGCTCTGGAATTGAAATGGGAAGTGAGTCGTGAAAAATGGAAATGCTTTGACATTTTCATGTTTTTTCCATTGTTTCAGAGGAGCTGGAAGGAGCCCTTTTTTGTAATTTCGATAAACGTTGCGTTCGTGTTTGCCTTGCTTTCATCTTGGGGAACAATCTTCCTGCGCTGATGCTCGGTGCTGATTAGGCTCAGATGAGCGGGACTTGGAGCGGCGGTGGAGGGATTTACAGCCCTCAGGATGGCTCAGCCTTGCCTGGAGTTTGAAAAGCTTTCACAGTCAGTGACAGCGAGTCGCTGTGCTTGTATAAGCTACTTAATGAAATTAAAGAGAACTCCAGTATCAGGGAGACTTGTTAAAAAGAAACAGCTCACACATAATTGATATAATGACTTATAGTTATTTTTTTAAATGTTAAATCCCTCAAAAAGAATTAAAAGGACTTCAGATTATTGTCAGCTAAATCTGTCTGGTGTAAAGGCTGGAGGAGACAGAAACAATCTGTCCCATTAGTTTAAGGGGGTGTTAGCCGTGACGCACTTGGCTGCTATGCTGCTTTGGAAAGCAGCTAATTTGGATATAAACTTTAAAAATGCTGGTGTTTTACATAAATCTGCAAAGAGTGTGTGTCTCCTCTTAGGTCAGATATTGTCTGTGTGGTGGCCGTGCCGTTTGAGAAGGTTAATAAGAACTGTGTACTTAATAAATTGTTCATAAAATATGAGTTTATTAAACGAATTATGTATATCGACAGATGTGCAGAAAGCAATTTTGCAGACAAACTTTTGTGTTCTCAGGTTGCAAAACATTTTTCTGCTATTCACATTTACAGCCCAACCCTGATGGAAGATTTAGTGAGATTTACAGATGCACTAATATTCATAATAACACACCTCAGGGCGTTTTAGGACCTTGTTTCTGCAAAGTGATCCATTACTATTAGTATATTAGTGCATTAAAGCCAGTAAAACAGGCATATTGTGTCCATTACGTTATCTTTTGGGCCAGTTGAAACTCTCCTATGCTCCTGACACATGATATCATGAGACTATCCGCTTCTCTCAGGGTGTAACGGACCATTCCTGCTGCTCCGTAGAGCGGCGTTTTAGCCAGCTAGCCAGCTGCGAGCATGAAGATCCATTTGAGTGAGTCCACATCGTCAAGTGATGCTGAGCCCCAGCCACTTAAATCTGCGTTGGGATTATTCTGGGGTTCCTTGGACGATTTTCTCCTCTGTAAGAAGTCTCTGGCCCCAAAAAATACCGAGAACTTCTCATTTAGAAGGAGAGAAACATATGATCAAAAATAAAAAAAGTTTTTGAAATGTTGTTGGTGTATTTTCAGGTATTACAGTTAACTGCTGCTGCAATCTGCTTTAAAAAGTTGTACCAAATGTTTAAGAAATAACTTTAAATGTTTAGTTGAGCAGATCTTGGAGTGCCAACAAATATTTGTTAATGTCAAAGTAATAAAGCATTAATAACTTATCTATTACTATTAATTTAACGTCTATCCTACCTTATAAAGTGTTTTCCTGTGAAGGTTTTAATGCTCACAACAGTATGGAGACCACCTTTAGTAATAACTATATGAAGTATGATGTGAAAACTAGCAATAAATCCAGTTGTGGTTTACAGGCCCTCAATAAATTTTATGAGATTATATTATTAAATGTTCACCTAGTGTGATCCATCCTCATAAATGTAACATATGAAGCGTTTATTAAAAAAGTAACAGCAGGGTAAAAACAGCCCAGTCAAGGCAAGAAACCTGGAAAACAAAAACTGCAGCTTTTCCTTGTGGAAACACTCATGTAAGAAAAATGAGCCACAGATGTTCCTTGTCAGCTTAGTCGGCTGTGTCAGTAACCAAATGATGGAATAAAGTGAACGAGTTGGGTATTTAGTGCTGCTCTGACAAGGAGCTATTAGCGAATTCCCCGCTCACCAGCTATTTAGCTGCTTCATTAAAGCCCACCCGGGTCCATATGGCCTGCATGCAGGCGTTGCCTTCGCCCAAGGTGTTTATTTGTTGCTGATAGGTGGGATCAACTGAGAATCAGGGCTGAGTTCCGACCCTAATCTCCCAAGCTGTTTGTGTCTCCGATGCCATGGAAACTGATACCCCTCGTCATCAAAGAACCTCATTGGGTGGGACTAATGACCTGACAGCTGGGCAGAGAGGGATTCCAGCATTCAGGGGGAGCACTGTCACCCCAGGGGTTTCCTTTAATCCTTGATAATGCTCATCCAAAGCTTTCCACAGCAGATGCAACATATTTCTCCATAAGATAGTCAAAGAATCTTTTCAGTGGCCTATTTTCATGTATAAGTGTTCACTTAAAAGACCTCTCTGATGATTGGCCGTTTGCAGTGAAACCCTCCGCGTGCACAGTTCTCCTCATGGCAGAATGACCTCCGATATTTGTTTTTCCTACACCGCTCTCTTTTTAATCTCCACTTAAAGAAACAATACTCCATTTTTCACTTGGTGGCGAGTTGATGTTGTGATAGTTTCCCAGTGGCATTGTGAGTTGCCCCATTTGCATTGTTCCCAGTGTTTACCCTCGCTTTCCCCTCTCAGCCTTTTCCCGGCTCCCTGCTGCTTGGTTCCGCTTGGATTAAAAACGGACACAAAAAGGCAACCATGTCCAAATATTGACTGGGTCTCAGGACCGTAGTCCTCTCCCAGCGCTGGCACAGAACACCTGAAAGGCCGCTATTGTTCCAATCGTACTCAGCAGCCCATAGCCGGCTTTTTAGCTATGCAGAGACAGAGAGGAGGAGACGGGAGAGGTGGAAGTGAAGAGTGTGTGTGTGCTATCTAAGGTGGGGCAGGGGGTTTCTACGGAGAAACTTACACATAAGAGGCCAGAGGCTACAGCAGGGGAACAGTGTCCAGGCCACGGCATCCCAGGGTGGGGTCAGAATCAGTGTTTCC